TGAGGCAGGAGAATTGCCTGAACCCAGGAGGTGGAGGTTGCGGAGTGCCGATATCGCGCCCTTGCACTCTAGCCTGGGTAACAAGAGTGAAACTCCGTCTCAAAAAAAAAAAAAAAAGAAAAAGAAAAAGAAAAAGAAATGCACATCCTTGGGCTGTGCCCAAGGCTGCTGGAGGAAGCTCTAGGGGTGCAGCCCAGCGGTTGTGTCCTGTCAAGCTCACATGGTGATCCAGGTACACACTGAAGTCTGGGAACTGCTGGTCTAGAAATACCAAAATAAGTGGTGGTGGCTTATATTTTTTACGTCACCTCTGGCTCTGAGTTCCTATTTCCATTTAATTCATTAACATTATTAACTACCCCTAGGTGATGAGCAAGATGGCCCAGAAATTAACAACATGGACTTTGGAGCCAGATTGCCGAGATTTCAATTCTGTCTCTAAGGCTCACTCATTGTATGGGTGTCCCTGAGCGAGGGGCTTAAATTCCCTCTGCTGCAGACCTCTTATCCCTAATATGAAATAACAATGGTATTCCCCATAGGGCAGCTGTGAGCATTGAATGAGACTGTGTCTGTTAAGTATTAAATACTTAAACAGTCGTGCCTGGCACATAGTTAGCCCACAGGAAACATTAACTCCCATTGGTTTCATACAAACCATGAACTCTCCTGCACTGTGTTGACCCAGATGTGCAATTACCCCCGTACCTCTGGTATACACACATACATGGATTTGTGAATGCGGTGAACTTTAAGGAGGCCTGGGGAGATCAAGGGTATTGGCATTAAAACAATTCTGAATTGAATACTGGACAACCTTGTTCTAAAAGAGATTGCTTGGCCAAAGGCTATGTCATTTGGTCTTCTTCCTCTCTCCCTGGGTGCTCACCAGCCTCTCACTGAGACAAGTCCCCCTCTTCATTATGTTGAGTCATTCAGCTGTCTTTACTCTCCAGCCCAACTCCTCAACTTTGCTCCTCAGTTCACTTTGCAAATCCAAGCACAACCTCTGAGGAATGGACCTTCTACCCTGATTCTCATGCTGGATTCCTCCCTCATAGGGAGAAGAGAGTAGCAATGAAGATATATTTTTCCTACTGACAAGAACTGTGCTACTTCTCAGGATGCTTTAGTGATACCTTTTGTTTCTCTCTATAGGTATATGAATCACATGTTGTATTTTTTTCCAATAAATACTTGAGAAAGTATTTGATCCAGGAGTCTGGGACAGAGCCCAAGGCTGTACATTTCTAACACGTTCAGGGGGGATGCTGATACTGCTGGTCTGAGGTCCCACAGTTTGATCACAGTGTATTTTTTCCAAAGGAGCATATTACTCTATAAATGTTCCTTCTGCTCTTGTTCTAAACCTTCACACCCTCATAACCAGGGATTTAATCGCAGCCACAGGTTCTCAACCTTGATACTAGACCATATAATTCTTGGTTGTGGGGAGCTATCCTTTGTGTTATAGGAGGCTTATTAGCACCCCTAGCCTCTACCCAGTAGATCTCAGTAACATTCACTAGTTGTGACAACCACAAAATGTCTCTAGACATTGCCAGATGTCTCTGGGGATAGGGGGTGTCATGAAGAGCCACCCTCAGTTTTGAGAGCTGCTGGTCTAAGCTACAGACATCCTGTAATAGTCCGAGTCCTTTATATCTTATTCTACCCCATACTTTATCTCTGTAGAGTATTTAAGTTCAGGGACTTGGATTTATTCACTGAGAGGATATGGAGGAGTCCCAGCAGCCTCTGGGTCACCCTTGATTTCCAAAGAGAACGATCAGCACTTTGTGACTGCATTTTCTCGAAGGCTCCAGGCTTAACCCATCTGCAGTGGAGCCGAGGACGAGGACATCCAGGTCTGTTTCCAGTACCATCTCTAGTCTGTTGACCCTCCCCATGTGGCGGGAAACCTCACAGGAACAGGGGAATGGCCTTTGGTTTTCGGCTTATAAATGCTCATCATCATATTTCTCTTACTGAGAACATTTTTAAAATCATGTTTAACATTCTTGTTGCCGTAGTGGAAACTTTTGGTATTTGGAGGACTTCCCATCCTAGGCCAGGTCAGATTCCTCAGCAGAGCTCTGAACATTTTCTAGGGAAGTTTCAGCAGTGAGACCGTACCTTGGATGCATTTACACAACCGTGGTTGGATTCTGGGTTAAGATCCCAGGATCCCAAGATAGACAACAGAGAAGCTGTGCAGCTGGAGGAAGGGCCGTGTGTCTGGGAGTCTTTCTGGGAGGCCAGGATCAAAATCCTTTTATGGTTCCATTACTTTTCTGTATATCTCGCCTCATACCCTAATGTCTTTAAGATAAGCAGCGAGTGCTTCAGTCATTATAAGATTATGCTTAATAACACACAATCTCCAAATTTCAGTGACTTAAAACAACAAAGGTATATTTCTTACTCCTGCTACGTGTCTGTAGTGGGTCCACAGAGGGGCTCTGCCTGTCCCTCAGGAACTGAGGCTGGCAGAACAGGCCCGTCTTCGGTGTTGACAGCTGCCGTTCTAAAGGAAAAGGGAGTCTCGTTCTCACAATTAAAAGCTCTAGACCACTAATGATGCTTGTGTTCGTCAGGGTTCAACGGTGAAACAGAACCAATAGGATCTCTCTCTACATTATCTGGATTTATTTTAAGGAATTGGATCCCATGATGTTGAGACTGGCAAGTCTAAAATCTGCAGGAGAGGGCCGGGCGCGGTGGCTCACGCCTGTAATCCCAGCACTTTGGGAGACCGAGGCGGGTGGATCACGAAGTCAAGAGATCGAGACCATCCTGGTCAACATGGTGAAACCCCGTCTCTACTAAAAATACAAAAAATCAGCTGGGCATGGTGGCGCATGCCTGTAATCCCAGCTACTCAGGAGGCTGAGGCAGGAGAATTGCCTGAACCCAGGAGGTGGAGGTTGCGGTGAGCCGAGATCGCGCCATTGCACTCCAGCCTGGGCAACAAGAGCGAAACTCCATCTCAAAAAAATAAATAAATAAATAAAATAAAATAAAATCTGCAGGACAGGCCAGCAGGCTGGAGACCCAGAAAAGAGCTGTCGTTGCAGCTCAAGACTGAAGGCAGTCTGGGGGTAAAGTTCCCTTCATTGGGGGACCTCAGTCACTTTCTGTGAAGGCCTCCAGATCAGATGAGGCCTACCCACATTATGGAGGGGAATCTGCTTTACTCAGAGTCTACTGATTTACGTGTTCATCTTATGTTAAAAAACAAAAAAAAAAAGAAAAAAAAATCTGGCCGGGCATGGTAGCTCATGCCTGTAATCCCAGCACTTTCAGAGGCTGAAGCGGGCAGATCTCCTGAGGTCAGGGGTTTGAGACCTGCCTGGCCAACATGGTAAAACCCCATCTCTACTAAAAATACAAAAATTAGCTGGGTGTGGTGGCACATGCCTGTAATCCCAGCTTACTTGGGAGGCTGAGGCAGGAGAATTGCTTGTACACAGGAAGCAGAGGCTGCAGTGAGCTGAGATCATACCACTGTATTCCAGCCTGGGTGGGTGACAGAATGAAACCCTGTTGCAAAAAAAAAAAAAAATTCTTCACAGCAACCTCAATATTGGTGTTTGACCAAATACCTGGTCCTATGGCCAAGCTGACATATAAAATTAACTCTTATGACACTCACCTTCTATTTTCAGCAAATGGACCAAAATTAGTCACATGGCCCCGCCCAATACAAGTCCCCAGGAAGTACAATCTGCTGTGTACCCTCGAGGGTGGGGACCAACAGTATTTGACTACAAATCAACAACTAGCACAACTATAAATTATTTTATCTGAGGATGAAAAAAAGTATTAATTTGTGGTACTTTGATATTAATGCATTCTACTAACACAATGCAGAAATAGTGTTAGACTTAGCTCTACCTGCTCGATGTGTTCATAGCGGAGGTCATGGAAGGAGGTGGGATGCAGCATGACCTGACCTCCAGGTTGACTAAATTTTAATACTGTTACTGACAATCTTCCTCTGTTATTCTTCTGTACTGTTTTCTTTGTAACATGTTTTCTGTGTGTGGTGTTGCATTGAAAACCTATTTGTGTGTTGTGTAATCGAAGAATGCCTTGCAATTAATTTGGCCTTTGTGACATCCTTTTATAGTATACACTCTTTGGGTTATTTTTTTCTTGCTTGGATCAGATTCATCGGAAAGGGCTCAGGAGCCAGCTGTCACTCTGTGTTTTTTGCTGCTCAGTCACTCTGTATTTCTGACAAGTCCCTCTCGAGTTTGCGCTCTCATTTCTCTGTCTAGATTGGGGCTGAGCAATGTGATTTCTAAGGTTCCTTCTGGGTCTGACATTCTGTGTGCCTTTGGTCCACACCCTCTCTCAGTGACCCCACTGCCAGGGGGTACAGCCCAGGGGATGTGTAACAGGGTTTTCCTCCACAAAACTGGCAGAATTGTTCTGGGTTCTAATCTGAAGATGTGGCCCCTCGTCAGTGCTCTGCTGATTTTGCATGGGGCTAGCTCACGGAGAATGCTGGCTACACCCCAGCTGGCGAGCATCATCATCATCCTCATCTTTGGGCCCACTGGTGCTCTGCTTGGCTGGAGGGAAGCTGAGGACAAGAGCATGTTGGTTTGGAGCACTGGGAGGCCTGTGGAAGGCGAGGAGGGTAGGAACAGTCTGGCCCAGTTGAAAATGGGCTTGGGGAGCTTGGCCAATCCTTCAAGGCCATCTGGGCAAACCTAATCTCCAAAGGGCAGAGTTACAAGAACCTCAAACACTACTTACCTCCTCCAGTACTAACATTGGACACTTCTAATGCCCATTCATTGTTGTGAAGTTCAAATGAGATGACTCATGAGGAAGTGCCTGGAATACTAAACATACTGTCAAACAGTAATAAGAATTACTATCTTGTGCTGCCTGACTCCACAGAATTTTAGTGCTAGTGCTGGGGACAGAAAAGTGAAAAACAGAGGCTCAATGAATTAGCATACAATGTGATGGCACCAACACACTGTGGATGGTGTCTTAGGTCAAGCTGCTCTTACGAAATACCATAGATTGGGTGACTTACACAGCAAACACTTGTTTCTCACAGTTCTGGAGGCTGGGAAGTCAAGATCCAGGCACTGGCAGAGTTAATGTCTGGTGGTTCATAGACACAGTCTTCTCACTATGTCCTCATATGGCAGATGGGATGAGACAGCTCTCTGGGGCCTCTTTCATAAAGGCATGAATCCTGTTCAAGGGAGCTCCACCCTCATGACCTAATCATCTCCCAAAGGCCCCGCCTACACAGAGCATCAGATAGGGAATTCTGCTTCAACCTGTGAATTTTGAGAGGACACACACATTCAGTCCATAGGAATGGGCAAAGCTTGTGGGAGCGCAGAGGAGGGAGAAGTCCACTCTGCTCGTGGGGGTGGAAGCCTCTATGGCAGCACTGACCGTTTAACCTGGTCTGGAAAGATGGCAAAGAATTCACAGGCGGAGGGAATGGGCATCCTAGCCTAAGCGAGGGGCAGCGTGCTGGAGAGGTTTATGGAAACCTCTGGTAATCTGGCCTGGTGGCTGGGTGGCGTGGGAGGGACCACGTGGGGGAAGCTGTGGAGGGAGCTGGTGATCAAATTAGGAAAGGTCTTGGATAATACATAAGGAGCCTGGACTTCACGAATTCTTCAATTACCAGGTTTAAAAAAAACTTTTAATTTCAGTTTTGGCTGAAAGACGACACTATTGCTTTAATTTTATTTAAAACCTTCCTGTGGATCTATAATAGGCAAAACTTAACTCAAATAGATTTAATCATAGCCTTGCTGCACTGTCCTGTTAATTTTGCTGCTCTCCTTCCTCTTGGAACTTCCATGTAGAATACATTTATCTTCCTGCTCTAGTCTTGTTTTGGTTGAAATATTCTAGTGAGAGAAGGTGGAATCTTTATTTTTTTTCTCTCTTGATACAGAATAACTGCTTATTTTAGAATGTGGAAAATAGAGAAAACCATAAAGATGAAAAAATAAATTTATCCTCCAGACAAGATTGGTGGAAGATGAGTGGCTGAGCTCCAGTAGAATCAGTTTTGTTCAAATCCTAACTTTCCCTCGTGTTACCTGTAAGACTTGGCAGTTTACTGTCTCCAGGGCTCAGTTTCCTCCTCTGTAAAACAGGAATAATGCTCCGAATACCTACCTCCTAAAGTTCTTATGGGGACTAAATCCATTTCTTCATGCAAAGCACTTAAGATAGTGCTGTGTATATAGTAAATAATTAGTATTTCTCATGGGTTATCGCAACGCCCTCTGGGTGAGTTCAGCCCTGCAGTTGGAGCTCCAGGAGGGCATCCTCCCCTGGGGAAGGGTCTTTCTGCCTCCATGTTTCATATCAGGAAGTGGGGAAGCTTGTCATACCTCAGGATGAGGCTCGTGTCAAGTCACAGACTGGTGTTTCTTCAGAGTCTTTCCCTAGAGAATGCTAGCTCATCTTCCCTTGCTCCTTCCTCTCTAGCATTTCCACCCTTGTCGGGCTTTTGGGGCAGGCTGTCCCTTTAAGAAAGACAGCCACACATTCTGCAACTGAGGCGGCACTGCCTCCCTTGCTGGGCTGTGGCTGCGACCCTCCTGGGCAGGATTTTAGTATTGAAGCCTCCAGAGGAGGGGGTGCTGCTTCAAATCAAGCACACCCCACCCCAGGAATCCATGCCCACAGAAGGACTCCCTGTCCACGGCCCCCTGCTATGGCCCTGGGCTCCCAATGCCCAGCTCTGGGACATCAGAAGATAATTCTTGAGGAGTGAGCTCAGGGTCCCCAAAAAGAAAGTTGGAAAATAGCTGGATAAACTTGGTAAGTGAAAGAAAGCCGCGTTACATCCTCTTCCTTGGGTTGTGGATTGCAGACTTTGGGTTGAATTCTGGTGACTCTTGCCAGTGGTATCTGATGGGCAAATGTGAGAAGGAGGAGACAGAGGTGGGGCTGGGATCTCCAGTGGGTAGTGAGTGTTGAACCTGGGGGATAGACACCCCCCCTTCTCCCAGTGGCTGTCAATCTTGAGGCAGGGAGCTGGGGGTTGACATCTGAACATAGCTGGATCCTGGCCCAAGGAGTGAAGATCTGGGAGGGGCAGATGTCAGATTTCTCCCTCATTTGGGAAAAACAAAGTGTGGTCAGTGAGTGCTGTTTGTGAAGATGCCAGAGACCAATGACATTTGCAGCCTGAGGGTGAAATGAGTGACCCTGTGGGTCTATCTCAGGCAGGAGACTCAGACCAATTCCTCTTCTTCCTAGGGCCAGGGGACACACCAGGCCTGGGTGCAAAGAGGTCTGCGTTGTCTCCTTGGATTGAGGCAGCTGCCCATGAGCAGCAGCGGACAGTGTGGTAGTGGGAGGAGGCAGGTCTGCCAAGGGCAGGGAAGAATGGAGGGCCTGTTATTGCTGAAGCCTGGGAACGCTGCCTGGGGGGAGGCCCACGCTCCCCAGAGCTGGAGTGAGAAAGAATGGGAGGAGAGGTCTATGCAGCAGGGGGATGGGCTCAGCCAGCACCCCCACCCTCTGCAGCGCAAATACCCCCCTACCCCATTTCCTGTGGCATGGACACAGGCGAGCTTCCTGGCCTTGAATGTCCAGGTACAGTTTGGAGGGCTGGGGTCTGTGACAAAGAGGTGGCCTCCCATGGAGGAGGAGGTAGGAAATGCTAGCCTCAGCCACTGGCACTCATCCGAGGCCAGGGTTTCCAAATCAGAGACGCTTTCTGCTAAATTATGCTCCAACAGATGTTTTCTGTGTTCCTACTTGTGCCAGGCTTTGTGCTGGGGATTTACCAAAACATAACATGGTATGACAGAATTGGGAAGGTGTGCAGAGCTGGAAAGATATTTTGGATGTGAGATTAAAGCCATTTTTGAAAAGTAACAGTAAGTTACCCTTTATTCTGCACCTCGAAGGTACCAATCACTCTGCCAAATGCTTTGCATCTCATTTAATTCTTGCAGTAGTTTATTGACTCATGACTAATTTTGTAGATTTCACAGATGAAGAAACTAAGGCTCAGATATTAAGGACCTTGCCTTAAAGATGCAGGGCTAGTAAATTCCAAAGCCAGGATGAACCTCTTAATTCATCCAACCATTCATTTGTGTGCTCAGCAAAGTTGAATTGCTGGCCTGCTGTGCGCCAGCCATTGTGGAGGGTGCTCAGGACACAGCTGGGACAGGGAAGTGTCCAGGGCAGCCTAACTCTGTAGCTTGGGTCCTCACCCCCAGCCAGAGCCCTTCACACTGGGCCCCAGAGACCCCTGGGAACGTGGTGTGAATGTTTTCTTCAAGGTCTGAGACTCTGCTTGAGAATGTGCTTTTCTTCGAGAAATGTTTCTTTGTTTTCATTTTAATAATAATACTCTAAAAATTGGAGGCATTTATTCTGAATCATCTGAATGACCACCATAAAACCTACTATTGGCATGCGATTTTAGTCCTCAAGTTTGTATTTCTGTGCAAGTTGGCACCGAGTGGTTTCCTAAAATGATAGTTTTTAACTTTTAATGCTTTGTTTCTTAAACTGGGCTCTACGTTGTATGCTTCAGAGGCCCAAAGATTACGGACGGCTGCACTGATTCTACTGCAAGAAGGGAGAGGTGCAGTTTGGGTGTCCCAAGAGGAAATGGTTCAACATCCCCCTCTTCTGGGGGGTGAAGAAAACGGGGGGGGGTTAGGTTGAGGCAAAGCAGCTTGGGGGTTCCAAATCTTCTAACCTCCTGGTCTTCAAGCTCAGGATGGACCTTGGCCAGAGACTCAGAGAGGAACAGGCAAGTCAGGAAGAAGGAAGGCCCCTGAGTTCGGATTGGGGTGCTCTGCTCTGACATGGCATCTTTGACTTCCGGCAAACTTGCTCCATTCTGGGCCTTTGCAGATGGGACGACTTGTGCCGGGAAGTGGGAGTGCAGGGCCTCCCTGGAACACTGTGTGACTTCCTCCCAAAGAGGGAGGTTTTCTGGTCATTCAGAGCCTCTGACCTCTCCTGAGGCCCAGCTGTTAGGTGAGAAGGCCATCGCATGATCCCTGGTGTAGGAAACTGTGCATGTGGCTTGGGCCCTACCACCCTGGGGGCATCCAGGGCTGTATCATGCAGGCCTGGTGCCTTGGCCCTTAGATGGGGCTGGGCAATCAGCATCCTGTCTGGATCAGATGTCCTGCCAGTCCAGGAGGCTGGAGGCAGGAGGCTCAGGACCCCTGCCTGTCTGTCCTCTTCCATCTCCCTTCCCTCCTCCCCCTGCTGGGGTTTTGGGTCTTGCCGTCATCCCTGCTTTTGCATGATGCTCCATTGTATTTCCACTTTCTGTTTACCGTCTCTCAGCTGGGTTCTGGGTGGTCATTCTGGTCATCTTTTCTCCAGACTCCACTCTACCCTTTTCTGTCTTCTATATTAGGAGTCAGTGAACATTATCAGTGAAGGTCTTGATAGTAAATCTTTCCGCTCTGGGGGCCTTCTGTGCTGCACATTAGTAATTTGTTCCTAATTTTATCTCCTCAAGAGCAGGAGTCAGTAGAACTTGGCTGTCTCTGCTGCCTCCCCCACCCCCAGCTCCATGCCTGCTGGGCAGTAGGCACTCAGGAAGTATTGCTGACATAAATCCCAGTGACCTCTCCCCATCCCCCTAGAGCCTGTGCCCCCGCAGAAGGCTTTTTGGGGTCTAGCTGTGCCATTTTGGGAAATCAGGATCTGGTCACCTGTTGGTTGCTGTAGCATCCTGTAGCTAAATCCATCTCTGGCCCTGTAACCTGAGCCTGCCCCAGGCCCTGTGCTGCAGGATCGAGTGTCCCTGTTTGTTTTGACATCCCATGTGGGGCATTAGAGATCCAGATTTCAAAGCAAGAATTTTTTCTAGCAGCCGTTGAAGGCCAGGCCCCTGCCAGCTCCCGGGCTCCCTTGTTAGCATATTCAGTTAATTAAGAAAACAAACCCCACATCCCTGACAGAGGTGGTTCTGCTGATTCAGGACAGAGGGGTTTGCATCAGCATGCAGGAGAGGCTGGCCAGGTCCTGCAGGAAGGACAAGCTGAGGGAGGTGAATGTGTGAGCTGGAGAAGACCCACTCGTGCCTTCCCAGCAAGAGCAGGTGCCACGGAAGTCGCATGGTTGGGAAGCCAGCTCCAGGCAGGGTCCAGAGCACAGAGTTTCTGTTCCTCTTCCCTCCTCCAGCATGTGTTTATCATGGGTGAGGGCCATGGGGAAAGGATAGCTGGATGAGAATAACGGGCGGGACACAAAGACGTTTTTGGGACTTGCCAGTCGTCTTCTCCAGAGCCACGTTATCCCAACTGTCTAGCTCCTGGAGGAGAGTGATGAGAGGTGACCTGGGGTGGCTTCAGGGGTGCCCAAGTCATTGACCTGCCAGCTGCCAAGAGGGAGCCAGATCAGAGAGGCTGCTTAGCCATGCAGGCCCTGGGTATGAATTTAAAAAGGGTCTTTTCTTTGTTAGGCTGGGTGCAGTGGCTCACACAGGTAATCTCAGCAATCTGGGAGGTCGAGGCGTGAAGGTCACCTGAGGTCAGGAATTCAAGACCAGCCTGGCCAACATGGTGAAACCAAGTCTCTACTAAAAATACAAAAATTAGCCAGGCGTGGTGGTGCACACCTGTAGTCTGAGCTACTCAGGAGGCTAAGGCAGGAGAATTGTTTGAACCTGGGAGGTGGAGATTGTAACGAGCTGAGATCGTGCCACTGCAATCTAGCCTGGGTGACAGAGCGAGACTCTGTTTCAGAAAGAAAAAAAATGTTGGGGGGGGTGGTCTTTGTTCCTTGAGGGAAATGTAGGTAAGCATACTCCTGTAGAATTAGCCCAGCTCTGCCAGTGTGTCTGTGTGGTTGGGGGCACTTGCCTGAGTCTGGCTGTGCATTCACACACAAACACACCCTCTCACCTGATCACACACACTCTGTGGTACCAGGGAGAAGATATGCCCTCCCCCACTCCCACCATGGCTGTGATTGGGCAGGTGGGAATTGGGGCCTGGGAGTGGAGGGAGCATAAGTGGGACTGGCCTGTACTGAGTGTCCAGCCTGTGTACTCTCTCCCAGGTGTGCAAGCCCTGCAGGCAGGGTGGGCTCATACATCTCTTTGGATGTGGGATTCTCTTGCCATTCACAGCCGGCACCCTACATGCAGTGGTCCTGTTGCCTCTTGGGTAGAATGGAATAAGAGAGAGACCCAGTCCTGCTCTGCCATTGCTAAATGGCCCAGCACACAGTTTGGACCAATTCCAGCACACAGTTTAGGTTTTGTGAACCTCTAATTTCTAATGGGAAATGGGGATGAGGTTCACATTTTATGTGTCCCCATGGTAGAGGGTATTGGCAAATATGAGATAAGGCATATTTAATGCCTGGTGCAGTGAACCTGGCCTCCTTCCCCATCAGACATGTGTCTTGGTCCAGCTTCTGCCTGGTGGCTTGGGACATGGCTGCCTTAAAAGATAGTGGGGAGAAATAATAAACACACAGCTAGTGTCTGCTCAGCCCAGGAGGAGAGCACTGGGAAGAAGCGATTGTACGGCCTGCTTCTGGTCTCTGGTATAACTAGTTCAAATAACTGCCAGTTAGTAGCAGATATTTTTAAAATTTTGAATGTCTTCTCCTTCTTACCTGCTGGAACTCTTGGGGCTCCCTGCCTTGAGTACTTTGTCATTCACAGCACGAGACCACAGCGAGGGGCTGGGGCCATTCTAGGAAAGCAAGTCTCTTAAAAGGTGACAACTCTGTGGTGTTCTAAAGCTGGGGAGGAGCCACTTGGGGTTTTAGGGGACTCTTGACTCTTTCTCTCTCTCTCTCATTTCCAGTGGAATCCTCAG